ACGATTGGTTGCCACAGAATACGTTTTCTAGGTTCTTTCTTCTTTCTTTTTTTTTCTACTGTTCAAAACACGTGCGAAATGAAATTGTTATTTATATAATTTTTCTCTCCATCCCTTAACGGGACACGGGCGCACGAAAAAAAACAACGAAATAAAGGTAGACCGGTACGGAGAAAGCAGCGCTTGTCCACAGTGTGGCAACTCAAACAACGGAAGTCCTCCCTTTTATGCAAATGAAGTACACCCGACTCAGAAATTTACTGGGAGGGGTTGTTTTTTAAGCCAATCACATCATCTTTCGTAATTTTGCGAAGGAACCTCGACAAAATCCTTCGAGGTAAAAATTAGTAGCGTTTTGGGAATTTTGCAAGGTGATAAACTCCCACTTCACTCAAGTAGGTTCTTAAGAACCTTTTTTTTCCTCTCTAGTACCACCAGCTGTTTGGCATAGTGGTATGCTGCTGCATTACTAATCACGTCAGCTTCTTTTCACTCACAGGTTCGAATCACGTTCATGTTGCATGCTGGTTTTTCTAACCATGTCATATTATTGTTAACAAATGTTAACATGTCACTAATAATACAAATTCCAAGTGAAGAGACAAAGGAAGGCCAGAGAAAACAAAATCTGTTTACTTTCTTTACAGCTCAACAAAATGCTAAACCTTATCTTTTACACAGCCCACTCAATAGTCCCTTCTTTATTCCATACATTGGGGTGGTCGCTCGTTACGGAAGTCTTTTCCATTAATAAATTGTAACAAGATCAGCTTGGACGTGTGCTTATACTTTATCTCGTAATCTTCCGGAATTCCAAGTGTAGCGTAATACACAAAAACACATAACAACAACACAGGACGAACAATTTTGGTTTAAGGGTGGACGCCACAAAACAAATATAAGTGAATAAATAAAAATAAAAATAACTGTATTGGAGGCTGTACGGCTAAGGGCCGGCGTCCACTGCGACGGACACCAACCGATCCGATTCCGTCCGTCTCTCGGAAAGTCGGTGGTTGAAATGGAGCACTGATTATTTCCTAAGAAATCAGTGGAAAGTCTGTTGGGCTGTGTCAACAGACACGACACGACACGCCCCGACAAAAGACGTGTCCGTTGGAAAGCCGCTTTCTCAATTTCAGCCTGGCGGGTCGTGACTCAAGAGCCATAGGCCCCGCCTGAGCTAAAAAAAAATTCTAATTTTGAGATCGGATTAAAATAGTAGGTGTTTATGGGTGAGTAGTGGTGACAATTTATAGTTTTATGTATTTGCTCTTTGGGTGTTGATTTCAATTTTCCTATGCCCATTTTTCCGTCATGCCTGCTCCAAAGCTATTCAAATTTCTCAACTTGTTTAAGTTTTGTTCCGTCGATAGTGATGTTTATAGGGACTGGGTTTCAATGACCACACGATCCGTGCATGCATATTTTGGTCATCATTGAGCAGGTATAACCTTCAGATGAACACAATGCATAAACAGTGCGTCAACTATCAACTCTGTGTTATCACAAACCTTGCACGCGCAAGCGTTTCGATCTGATTCTGTTGCTTTCTTAAAAACCGTAAATTAAATGGCTTCCACCGCAAAAAAACCCTTCTAAAACAAATGTTCGAACTGCTCTCTCAGATAGGCACTGTCTGTACAAATGTTCCACGGTGTCATTCAACAAACGTTTCTGGGTTTTTTAAAATATGTTTAAATGTAACAATATTTTTAACCGTTCAAAATTCTCGAGTTGTCAGGCCGAAGGAAAAAAACAACCCTAAATGTGCACTTTATCCATCTGTAGAGTTGAAGGCAGTTTTTTCTTCAGTTTCCTTTTGTTCTTTATGTTGAGAGTTTTATAAAATTAAAATTTGCTATGGATTTTATACTTATTTGGTATTTCTCCAGAAACTAACATTCGAATACGTTTGTTTTTCTTTTTCCTGTATCGGTCTTTCAATTCATCCATGAGAGCAAAAGGAAATTTCAGTGTTCTTTTCACTGCATTCTTGCTCTCAGATAAGGTTTTCATTTTCAACTTTAATTTTCTTTTTCTCTGCACTGTTTCCATTGCAAACTTATACTTTAGTCTAGAAAATAACACACTTGAGGATGGGGAATCCATTGTTTTTGCCATCGGCACAGTTTGATTTTTTCTTCAGATTTGTGTATTTCTTCGTTTTTCTCCTTTCCGTGCATGCTGCCCTATGGCCTCTTAAGATCATACGAACGGCAGGTTTCCTTTCCCTTTATTGTTTGTCTTTGATGCAGTTTTGCTTTTCATACTGCATGTAGTGCAGTCTCTTCACGGGGTTCTTTACTTGAAATTCTACACAATCTCCACCATTTTTTGTCTTTTTGCTGTCTGTGATGAGGATGATGATGACGAGGATGATGATGATCTTTGAAATGTTCCCGACGAAGCCCGAAGAGGGAGAAACGTTGAACGTATCATAAAATATTTTGGAAATGTCACTGGGGTGTGTCCGTGAGCACGACACGATAACCTTAGCTAAAAATAGCAAAAAAAATAGATCTACCTGACACTGTCCAATGGCGATAACTAATAACACGTTTGTAAAAAAAATATTCTCCATTGGTGTAACTTTGTGCATTTGATATTCTTTGTATGTTTTATTTGTGTGTTAATTTATAATGAAATGTATGTTGCCACTGTAATCTAAAGTTCCTCATTGGAATCAATAAAGTTTAATTCATTCATTTCTTAAGTTTTTGCCTTTTGTTTGTCAACAAGTACTACAATACAATACATAGATCTACACATTTTTGTTCATCATCATTTGTCTCGGGATCAGACGGAATAACAGGTGGTGCCATGTGGCATGGGGTGCACTGGGTCTAGAGAGTCTAGGAATGTTACTAAACTTAAAGCCAAATGTTAGCTGGACTTACGTTTTATCCCCTGAACTAACTTTAGCAGCTGATTTTGACAAAAGGCACCACTGGTTTCATATATATAGATGATTTTGCAGGTAGGGGAATACATTCAGGATGTCTCTGTCACACTGTCACAGAAAGAGTGATGATCATAATATTAATGTTTAAAAAATATAGCTGATATGCCTTTATCTCTTTCTGTCTTCATCAACCTATAACAGTCATACAGATGGTGCTCAGTGTTCAGGGTAGCAGTTTAAAAAGATCAACACTCTGGATCTTTTTCTGCTAGAGTTCAAAGGGCATACTCCCAAAGGCTACTGGATAAACTGCTAAAGAATTTTACAGTTTCCATTACCACCACTAAGGGTATCAAAAGTAACGCTCCAGTATGGATAAAACTGCTCCCATCCCAAGTTCATTCCCAGAAGGTGAAACGATAGATGTCAGGGGGAGAAAAAACCCAGACTAGCACGCACATAGTGAACAGATTTTCAGGTTCCGAATTGTTTCTTAAACATTGCTGCTAGACTGTATTGCAAATGCTGAGACAGCGAGAGTCATTGAGTTGTAAGTTGTAAGAGCACTTGTTGGACATGTTGTATACAACTTTCCTTTCTTTCTTAAACATATAGGTTTGTGTTTTTACACCACTATCAACACAATTCAGATCATTTAAGAGGCCAGCTTCGACTCTTGCCTATCAAAGCCAACCCTGGCTTTGAGTTTGAGGGTTATAAAATCCACGCAGAAAGACCAAGATAATAAAAAACATTCTCCCCAATTGGGAATCAAAGTCAGATCTGCTGCATGTGACAGCGAAGTGCCTAATCACTACACCACAGATGCCGTTCAAATATCTTTCACTGATTTGTATCACTAGTATCACTCAGTCACTTACTTAATGGAATGAAAGAGGGCTAAATGGCTCATGAGACGATCTGCTCAGCTTGGTTAGTAGGTTAGTTTGATAGAGGTCTTACAATAGCAATACATTAGTAAAAAGTATTGAAGATTGTTGTTGCTTGTTTGCTGAGTAAAGAGAAGCACATCGACACAATAAAGATCAATTAGGTGCTGAAGATAACAGTTACAAGAAAGTAACAAACATAAAAAAGAAGGAGGGTAACAAACGACGACAGAAAACTGTGATAACAGAAGCAAACCACACCAGAATACCCACCAGCCACTCAAATTAGTCTACTCTGAGTTCCACTACACAAAGAGAGAAAAAAGGACTGAATCTTATGAAGAGGATTATTTATTGAAAGCAAACCGTATAACAATGGCTTTGAAGACATGATGTTGTTAAAATCACTCATCTGTCTTAGAACCGATCATCACCATTCTCTCAATCCTAACATCCTCACAATACCAGAACCAATCAAAATACTCATCACACACTCAGGACCAATTATCATTCTCTAAATTATACAGTGGAGTCCACATGTAACGAGTCCTGAAATAACGAGAAATCTGTTATAAAGACACTATTCTAAAATCTCATTTTTTTCCTTCTTTATCTTTGTAAATAAAATACTGCTATTGCGCAGTCAGACTGTCACGAGAGTCGGTTATAACGGAATCCTGCAGCTGCTGTGCACAGCACACACACCAATTAAATATAAAAACCTCACCAGTTGAGAAAGTTGTTGGTGATCCACGAAAACCAACAATGAAGACCGGAGCGAGTGAGTGGGGAGGGTGTGGCATGTGCAGACAACCAGAACACATCGCGTGATAGGCCAGCCCTGTCTAGATTATCTAGGCCTACCATGCCTCTCATTTCTCTGGTGCGGGGATGGAGAGGTCACAACAATGTGATGGATGGAGTGAATGTGTGACGAGCGCAAGCAGACAGAACGCACTACAGGGTGTGATGGGGTGGGGGACAACACAGCGGGCGAGTGAGCCTAGAGCCAGAGCCCCTTCTTTCCAATCGCCAATGCCAAGCTGTCAACATTGCTAGTGCTAGAGAACCACAGGGGGAGAGGATAATCTTGGCTAGAGAAAGAAACCTGGTTTGATTCTTGATCAAGTAAGACCTAGAGATCATGCTGAACAAAATCATCATCAGGGGAAATACAAAAAGGAATAAACAGAACACCATACTCATAGATTAGGCCTACTTTATTATTTCCCTTGAATTTTCCTTTTATAACGGACATTTCGCACCGGTACTCTCCCACTCGTTATAACAGGATTCCACTGTATCTCAAAACCTGTAAGCTCTGTCCATACAAACCTAGAGCAATCAAAATTTTTTACACCATATCTCACACTTAATCAGCCTTATTCTCGTAATCTCACAATCAATGAGCATTGCCCTCATTACAATCTTTCAGCCAATCACATGTCTTCTTTCATCTAAGCAACCAATTAGCACCATTCAGACTTCTTTTTCCCAGGCAAACAATCTGCACCATCAAGCCAATTCCATAGGAATGACATATGGGGGGGGGAGGGGGTGCCTTCACCACATGCCAGTGGCCGGGGGTAAGTCTGCAGAGTAACTGTTGTGGAAGTCTCCCTGAGCAGCCAGCTTCCGCTTGAGGACCACCTCCTGCGCGTGGACATCCTCCTGGTCCATGTCCTCCTGGCTGGGGTGCCACTGGGAGTGAAGGACACGCTCTAAGGTCGGGGCGCACACAGCGTGCGACGCTATAGACTGTTTATGGAGCTGCAAGTACATGAGACGGAAACATACTACAGTCTAGCATGCACGTAGCGCAATGCATACATATTACAGCAAAACACCCACAAAGTAAAACAAGTACATAACAAACAGGTTTTCAGGTCCCAAATTTTTCCTTATACAGTGCAGCCTCTCTATAATGACATTGTCAGGACCAGAAAAAAATGTCGTTATACTATAGAGAGTTGTTGTCATAGAGAGGCAACCAAAAGTTACAAATGTAATTAAGGAAAAAATCGGGACCTGGGCACCATATCGCTATAAAGAGGATGTTGTTATATATCGAAGGCCGTTAAAGACAGGCTACACTGTAGTTATATACATTCGGATCGAATATTCTTTCAAATTAAAAAAAAATTTAGGTGTTACTATGCCCCCCACCCACGATACAGTTTAGATCATTTGCAAAGCAGGCATCTGGCCATGCCTGTCAAGGCCAACCTGAGCAATAAGAGGGATACAACACAACCTGGGCTACTATAAAAGGGATACAACATCCCAGCAGAAAGGTCAAGACACTCGATAAAAAATGTTCCTACCCAAGAATCAAACTGGGTCGCCTGAATGCAGCAGCAAAGCACTTAACCGCTACTACTCAGATGCCAATCTGCCTTATCTGTTGAGTTGGGGTGTAGTACAAAGAAACTGTCCATGGATGTTTGAAGGGTGCTCTGTTTTAATTCACTCCTTTTTTCCTGTCAAACTTCTGTCACCCTTACCTCTTCTTTTTCTTTTCTTTATGTGTTACTCCTTCGTAACAACCAGGAGGTGCTTCCTTTTAAAATCAGTTTACGTTACTTCAGTGTCTGTATTTTCGGGGTTGATGAAGACTGTTTTCCGAAACTGCCAATTTAACAGTCTGGTGGCAAAGAAAGTGCCGATCTCATTGGCACTTGCGAATAATAGGGATAAGAACCCATACAAAGAACTACGCTGACTTAATTCGCAACCTTAAAATTAGAGGAACCTTTTTATCCACAAATCTACACAGAAAAATGTGGTACCAGATCAATCAAAATAACAAGCTTACCATTAAGGTGTCTCGGAGGTCGAACAAAGAAATGGGCTCGCTGTAGTCAGCAGCAGTGCTCTCCCCTAGTGCATCCTGCTGCACCGCCATGTCCTCTGCCACACTGGGTGAAGGTCGCAGACTCGGGGCGTGGTGGAACTTGGCAGTGACAGTTGTGGCTTCGCTGGAGACACATCACAAAGAGCATCAGTATAACATACTGTGAGGCATCGTGGTGAAATAAGGCGCTCGTCAAATTAATGACATTTTTGAAAAAACTGGTATTTTTTGGCCCACTTGGCAATTTTTTCCGAATTTTTATTATTTGGATCACAAACTTTTACGCCCATTTAAAAATAAATCTCTGTGTGGACTTTACTATTCATTGATTAAAGGTACAGAAAGTGTAAATTTGCAGTTTCCGAGGACTCTCAGACTTCGTCTGCCCTTTTTCACTAATTTTACCTTTGACACCTTCTGTTACTCTCTTGTAGCACCTCTAATCTCCGGGACTTATTTGACCTCTGTTTGTGTTGCAAATGCTATAAAACTCTTACTTTAAATAACAAGAAAAAAAGTTGCAGACTTGACCACTGGCAGAAATGTACATTTGGTACTCAGAAAAGCAAGAGAAAGCAGAAATTCAACAGCCACAAAGAATCTTTTCTTATCCTCTGAACCCAGCCCCCACCCCCCTGAGCCTAACAGACCTCTGCAGCTGAACTCCTTTGGCTTCATAGCTAAATAAATACCATTGTATGCTTGGGCATACGCCTAGATCCATTGGATTGAACAACAACCTCCGCCCCCCCCCCCAAACATTTGCAAAATTTTTACGTTTATTGTCCCTCTCAATATTGTGAGGTTATTTAGGAGGCACCATTTCCGAATTCATCATGCATCTCCAGTAGGACATGTTATCTTGAAAACAGATATGATCTCCATCCGTTGAACACCAATTTGAGACAATAATTCCCTACAGAAAGAAACAAAATATGAACAGGAAAGGAAAGAAAGACCTATGAGTAGCATCCACCACCAACCGCTATTCTTAGAGCTAGTATAAACGTAACCATTACTGAAACTTACAAGTAAACCTTACAAACCTTTCATGACTAGGATCCTCTACCGAAGGCGTTCTCCGAAAGTACGGAATGGGAACCCCGACCCCTGCAGCATACGTAAAACGTCGCTCTCTCAGTTTGTATCCCTTCTTTTGTTGGATCACCAAGGACAGGATATGTTTTATCTGTGTCTGAGAAAGAAGACAAAAATAATCGTTTGTTTGAGTAAAGAGGAGCACATCGACACAAAAATAGTCATTTAGAGCTGGGGAAAGAGTCAGACAGACCGAAACAACAGAGGTAAAGTAAAGAAGAAGGACTTATCGGTGGCACCCTCCAACCACCCACTGACAAAAATAAGAAGATAAGACTAATAGAAGATAGAATCTAGAGCTAAAACATTTTTAAAAAGAAAAAAACCCTCAGCCGACAATGAGGGAACGCATTCTCCTCAATAATTATTTACATAAACACCATCTCACATCATCACTCACAATCACCATCATATCTAAAATTATCATTGCTCTAAAATCCTTGAAATACTTCTATATTCCTTGAATTTCTATCTGTAACAGTTACATGTTAACATAATTGTGTACATAACACACTATGGGACACTATCACACACACCTTTTTCTGTAATAAGATGGTGTCAGTCTCATAGAAATGAGCAAGGGGAACAATAATAGGAGACCAAAAAAGTATTGAATTCTATCAACACTAGCTACAAACAATGCATAGGCTTGCCTCCATAGCACATGTCAAAATAAAAGTAATAAATAGCATTTGAATAGCATATATCCCGCTCAACAGCAAGCTCTATGTGCTTTACATTACAATCTACATAATTACCTTAGCACACTCCAGAACACTCAAAAACATTCCCGGCTTCCCAGGAACCACACAATGCAAGCAGCTGTGCAGAAGGAGGAGGAGGAAGACGAGGAGGAGGAGGAGGAGGAGGAGAATAACAATAACAACAAAAACAACATCATTAAAAACAACAACAATAAAAACAACAACAACAACAGCAACAATTATAAAACCATCACCCATGGGTGGGACGCTCACCTCCAGTGCCAGCAGCAGCAGCTTGACCGCTGCGTCATTGACGTCAGTGAGTCCAGTCTCCCAGGCACACACCAGCATGCGCCCGTGGACCAAGGCGCTGTCCGGCAGAAGACCCTCACGGGCCACAAAACCTGGACACAGTCACACAACAGTACAGATTGGGTTTGGTGTTGAATACCATCAATGTCTGGCTCTTTTTAATTAACGTTTTAGTTTTACAGCACTTACAACACAACATGGTCATATAAGTGCCGCTCATTAGAAGTGTTACAAGAGTGTAACAAGGAAGGGAGATAAGGACGGCAGATCTTTGATAGGAAAGAAGGAGCAAACTACTTCATAACACCTGCCAACCACCCAGGTGTCCGACTCTAATCATGTCTCAGCAAAATTATCGACTCGATCCAATGGTTGGGTCAACAAGGTAGGCTTGAAATTAAACATTTATATCTATGACTTATCAGTCTGACACTGATTTTTTAAAATTGAAAGTAGGCCTCTATGCTTTTAAAAGCGTTTTTAGCAATTTTAGAAAAATGTGTCTGTTGCTATGAAGATATTAGTTAAATCTTTGATCACCAATATCTCAGTATTTTGCCTCACACAGCAGCAATGGAGTATTCCAATACTGAATTGCCTATTAATATTTATTTTGTTAAATGCCATTGGTGTCAAACGAAATGGAATTTTGTCTCCTTTTTAACTGTACCAAAAACCCAAATTATGAAAAGTGTACCAGGGGGGAGGGAGCAGGGTTGTTTGTACAGATGACAGTTTTGGACAGGTGGTCGTTAGAGCAGGTTCAACTCCACACACTTCTGACTTTTCCAGTGGTGGATCTAGAGGGGTCTCATCTCATCTACAGGTAACATTTAATTTTTTTTATGTAGGTGTTTTTGCTCACCCATCAACACAATTTAGGTCATTTAGAGGAAGGCTTCTGATAATAATAATAATAATAATAATAACAACAATAATAATAATAATAATAATAATAATAGTAAGTAGCACTTGCATAGCGCATACCCCAGCGGAACAGCAAGCTCTATGCCTTTTACACTATTATATTATTACCCCAGCAGACCATAGAACACTCAAAAACATTCTCAGCTTCCCAGGAAGCATACAGTGCAAGCAGCTGATCCTGATTACCACGGCCAACACAGGCTGAGAGGGATACAATATCCGAGCAGAGAGACTGGGATACTTGATAAAAAGTTCTCCCCACTCGGGAATTGACTCGAGTCTTCTGCATGTGATAGCAACGCACTCAACCACTACACTACGAACACCGATCGCCGAGTATTTGAATAAAAACAGGATAAAAATAGCTCACCTAGCGGTGTTGGACTGGCCCCTTCCTCCAAGGCTTTGCTGGTGATGTGAGGGACAAAATCAATCGTCTGGGCCGGACAAAACCGTTGCTGGCAATGAAAAAAAAAAGAATTCAGTCTGCCACGCACATAGAGAACACGCACATAACGTTCATGCCAAAACATGCACAGAGCGAAAAAGAACATAACATTCATAACGAGACATGCATAGAGCGAATAGATTTTGAGGTCCTGAATTTTCTCATATAATAATACATAGGTATATATTTATGTTTTACATTTTAAACACGCACACAGCAAAATTTCTACAAAAAGAAAAGATTCCAGAGTGATTCATGACTTTAACCCTGAAAATCTATGATCTCTGAGTTTTTCTTGTTATTCATGACCTTTAGCCATGAGATAAAAGACCTCTGACTCTGATGATCCATGATCTCCGACCTTGTCAGTCTTTACCTTTGAGCCTGGAATTAGTGACCTTGATCACACAAGGACCCATAACCTCCGATATTGTCCTTCACTCCATTTGAGCCAGAGATTAGTCATTCTTTCTTTGACCATGAGGATCAACGATCAGTGACCTTGTATCTCGTCAGATATCTTGTATGTCGACCGTTGGCACTTGCTTCTGGTATAGTTTGCTCCATTTTCCTATCAAACAGCTATCATTTTTATCTCTCCTCCCTCTTTTATTTGTATGTTACTATCTAGTAACACCTCTAATCTTCAGCACTATAATGACCTAATGACCTAATTGTGTTGCAAGTGCGGTATATCTCTTATAAAAACTAATAAATTCATCTTGTCATTTATTACCTCTGGACCTTGTGACTACCTTTGACCCTGAGATCAGTAACCTTTAACCCAACTTCATGAAGACAACAGACTCACCTGCAGATTGGCTCGTCCACCTGGGGGTCTTTTCTTCACCTTACTTGGTTTCTGATTTTTGCTGACAGTGGTCGTGTCTTTAGGAACTGGAAAAAAACCAACAACAACAACATCACTTATTTTCATTGTTGTAACATGCCCGAATTCAATATGACGCTACCTCAGAATTACAAAGTCCTAATCTATCTCTGCTCAGTACTTAGTTTTGAGAAATTTGACATAAAAGATTTTGAGTTTCACATCATGTCAAGCTTTTTCAAAAGTAATTCTTTGAACACCTTGATAAAGACTCCGAATAATCTTACACTTACAATTTCGATAGAGTAGACATTTGGTTTCTGGCCTCATGGTCTTAGCAATTCAAAACGGCGAAAAATGTCAGATAGAACTTTGTAATTTTGAGGAAGCAACGTGTCAATAGCAACACCGAACAGCAACTGATTCTTAATTTATCATTACCAAGCCTGTTTTGATTCCATTTGATTTGTTTCTAATGCAGTAATGAGTGCTCTTTTAACTATTTATCGACAAAGTTAGAGATTCACTTTCAAAGAATAACCCAGGGCACTGCCACTGACTATATAGTGTCTTTAGGCCATTCCCAAAGGGGGAACATTTCTCGTTCAAGCACAGTAGAATTGTAAATGGGCTGATTCATCATGTCACGTTCATAACTGTCCCTGATCTGCAATAGGGAACAGCTGCTTTTTCTTTCATAATCCTTATTATTGTCATTTACCTCTACTTCTTTTGTATGTTTGTCACTCTTGTGACCCGTTATTTCCGGGGTGCCTCGATAGTCGAAGCAGACCTTGTGCTGTTGAAGCTAGGAGGTGAGCAGAATAAGTCTGACTCCCTGTAAGGACTTCTCTATTGACACCCACCCCTTGGCACTCATATGACCTTATGCATTTGCGAGCGCCGTAAAACCCTCTACTAAAAAAACAACAACAACAAAAAACTTTCTAAGATTTTACTTTAGTTTCAACTTAACTTAATAGTGACCTTCAAAATTAAATGCGTTTATTTTTCAAGGTCAGGAGTCGAATTGGTCGCATTGTGCCAAAATGGTAGCTTTTGTTCCATCCACGAGGCAAAATCTGATGAATCCAATAGGCAGTGTGCACTGGGTCTAGGGCTATTCCCGGGTAACTGACGGGACATTTGGACTATACTTTCTTACAATGATAATACTGTAATACAATATGTGAGGCATCATGGTGAAATCAGGCGCTTGTCAAAATAATGAAATCGAAGAAACAGGCGCCTTTTTTCATCAGTTTGGCAATTTCTATCAAATTTTAGTTTTTGGGCTCAACGCCTTTTATTTTTACGTCTTTAAAAAACACATTTCCATGTGAATTTTACAGGAAAACGTTGATGAAAGGCACAAATTATGTAATTCTTAAGTTTTTAAGGACTCTCAGGCTATTGAAGTGACCAAACTTTGATAGCCATTTTCTTCGCTAAATTTACCCCTGAAACCAGGTGACCCTGCCTCTTTCAAACACAAATATCTCGACTTCTATTAAAGGTAGATGAGTTATTTTTTTTATTGAATGCAAGGCAAATGAATATGTATTCAGATAATATGAATAACTCCACATGTCCAAAAATTAATGAGCGCCTGATTCCACCGCATTGTAACACATACCGTATCAATTAATTTACTATGAAACATGAGGCATTTTTTTTCTGTCCCATCAGTTAATGAATCTAAACATATCACAGTACTGTCGTAAAGAACTTCTTTTTCAAATAACTGCATTTAATATGATTTTTAATATGTCTTTCACATGTTCTGATCATTCAAAGTTGAAATAAATTAGTTGATATTAAATTACAAAGTTATCATAGTAAGAAAGTATAGTATAACTGTCCTGTCAGTTACCATGGAAAAGCCCTAAAACTACTTCTAACCAATCCCACTTGTCTCTACCCACAGAGAGCAGAGCGGTTTAATCATCAACATTCAATTACATTTCCAATGACATATGTAACTGCCACTTCAATGTTTACTACATCATCTGTAGAGAAGCTGTATTATATCCCCATCCACTAAATAATTCAAGGTTTACAAAATTAAATAGACCTACCTCTAAATGGTTTCAATTGCTAAAAAAAAAAAATTAGTTCCTGGTCGAGTTTAAGAACCAAAATATGTTTATGGGGGCTTGAAACACTAACAATTCTTCTCCTTCTTTTTCTAAGGTTTGATTTAAGAAGGAACACTCTACTCACCAAGAGATGAGGCAAGACTCTGGCACTTTGCTATCAGAGCGAGGAGAAACTCGTTGTGCAGGTGAACTGAGGATGAAGGGACACAACAAATGACATTTAGGGAATACTTCAAAATGTCAACTCAAAGTCAGAATTCACTTCTTTGACAATTGAAAAAAGAACAAAATGACTGACCCTCAATGCCCTCAAACACCAAACTACTTTTTCAGAGTCTCTTTGAGCTGGTGGAAGTATCATCATACTACTTTTAGCTTTAAGTTTTCGTAACAGTTTTACGAAACATGCAACACAATTAGATTGAGTAAGTGACAAAGATTGGAGGTGTTACACACAAAGAAAAGTAGGGGGAATGATAGCGACTTTAGATGTTTGATAGAAAAGAAAGAAAAAAAATCACATCAGAGTGCCCACTAACCACCCACCATATATCACTGGCAGCTAACAAAACATCAAAGAAAATGCCAAGGATATATATTACGATATAAAACAGAACCACTGGTGTCAGACACTGCCACACATGCTGCATTTGTTGCCTCACTCGACCAATATCCACACAGACTCTCCTCTAATATCGGCCAAAATGACAAAGTGAATACAGTATTACAGGCGTCCATTTAAACCTGATTTTTGGGGGTTTAGAGAGGTTGCTCAAATGGAAGAAAAAGAAATCCTGGATATAGAGGGGTCAGTAATCTAGTGGTTTTAAGCGAAAAGACTCAGTTACAACGAGCTTGCAGGTTTGGGGGATCAAGTGTTGGGCCCGACTTTGCATCCTTGGGAAAGGCACTTCACACAAATTTTCCTCACTTCATCCAGGTGGGAATGGGTACCCAGCCATAAATAAACAACAAAAGATATTGTCAGTGTGTCAGCGCTTATAAAATAGAAAGTCGAGATTGTTTCATAATGCTATCAGGTCTGCAGGAGTAATAATACAGATTCTAAAGCGCGTAGAGCTTGTTGTTGAGTCAGAAGTTGCACTATACAAATGCTACCTATTAATTATATTATTTTATTTTGGTTTACAGCTCTTTTCAAACTAATGTTGCTCGTTTTAAGCAGATTCCACTATATTTCATATTATAAAATTTACTTACCAATATATATATATATATACAGTTTATAAAAACATTCCTAGAAGTTTATTTTATCTCTCTTCAAAAATCTATTGTCTATTATTTCATTAACAAAAGCCCCTCTTTAAACTCAGAGCACACAAGACGCTGTGTAAACATACCAGTATCCTCCTTCATAAGATTTCTTGCTTGAAGGTCAAATTCCTCTTTGTTCAACTAAATAAAGAAAAAAAATATACAAAAAGTAGAAGATCAATTTATATGAAAATAATAATAACCAACAATTCAATTTAATTTTGAATTAGAAAAAAGCATGAAAGTAGCTGTCCACGTAAAATTATGCAAATTTAGAAGGCCAAATCATGCACAAAAAAGCAAAATTATGCAAAAATTATGCAAGTTAGCATAACACCATTCCAACATGTTTTGCACTTTTTCAACACAAAGTTTCATGATTTTCATGTTTTATGTACAGAAAAATTGAAAACAGAACATATCAGTATCAGTAATTTGTTGTGTATTTGGAAAAGAAAACAATACACATCAGTTAAAAAAAACAAAAACAAAAAAACAACCAAAAATAATAATCTTTGTAACTTTCAGCTGTAGATCTAGATCTATAAAGGAAAGAACATTTGGGTTTTTTTTAATTTAAAAAAAGACATCTGGACCTCTGATGCTGGCACATTACTAAAACCAGGGACACCTGTCAAACATGAAACATCAGCAGACATGAGAACAGCAAGTTTTGATGGATTGAAAAATTGAACATGCTCAAGGAACAAAATCACAACCCATAACCAAGACCATCTAACAAGGGAAATAGCCAACTTTTCACTTAAATGCGACTTATTACGGTGATTATGTCCCTTTAGTCACATGGCGAGGTGTTAATTAAATTAATTGTTTTGTGAAAAAAAGGAAAAAAAACGCGAAAAAACGCGGATAATCCAAATTTATGCTAATGTTGCAGAATTACGCGAAAAAACGCGGCCGCACAATCGCATAATCTTACGGGACAGAAGTAGGCCTTAGCACACAAAAACATATTGAGTGAATACATCAAGGTCACATATTAAATTAATGTTCAATTTTAGACTTTTTACCATAAAAACAGTGTCTAAAATGCAAATCACACAAACAAGAAACAGAAGAATCCTTGGAGGAGCTAGCTAACGGTTTTGTCTTCACAAGTTTCACAGTTTCACTTGAAAACCACTGACTAACATATATATAGAATATATATATAATTTTCACTCACCTTTCTCTTAAACCAGGCATTCAGATTCTCTAGGTACCTGAAAAGTAAATAAAGATGACTTGATACATTTACAAAAATTCATAAATTATTAGAACACAACCAAAATAAAACTCTGGCCCTTCAAACTTTAAAAACTATACACCTGAGCATGAGAAGGGAGGGAAAGTGAAATATAATTGTAGAGGCATAAATAAGACTGACAAAATAAGGGTTTGGGTTAGAGCTAGAGGCAAGGCTTAGGGTCCGGTTATGGTTACTTTGAGTTAACCTTAGCCTATCCCTAACTTTAAATAGGCTTATTACAAAAATCCAGCAAATAGAAAATGTGGAAGGATAAAAAACCATATGCGACCGGATTTTTGTAGAATAACTGAGTTTCATTCATTCAGGTTCATTGAAAGGAGAGTAGGACATTTCAGTTTCAGAGAGAGTTTTTAGAGCTCTGGCAACTGCATTCACAAGATCATATATTCATCTGTGATTTGATGGAACCTCAGTAACTCGTATTTCGGTGGCAATAGTTGTTTTTTCTCCCTCAAAAGTCAAAAGATACTCGACAAAACCCTTCAAGGTAAAAAGTAAATTTAATTGCTTTTTTGTGACTCCCAATAACATCAACTGATGAAATAGGGAGTCGACTCTCAATAACGCCTCCCATGGGTAGGATTGTAGGATAGTAGTAACTTTAAGTAATCGTTACGGTCAAAATCGGATTATCCCAATGCATTATTACTCTTAACATTTAAGGGACCTATACAAAAAACAGGCCTCTATGCTATAGAGCCTACACAGTTTACACCTGAACAGGAGACGGAGACTAAGACGAAACTAACTTCTGAAAACTAAAGAAAAAAAGGAAGATTTCCAGAACGAGTGACCACCCCAACTTCAACAAACGCATGAAGAGACCTGAACCCGAACCTTAACTCAACCCCTATCCGTACCCCAAACCCTAACCCTGACCCAGACCCTAACCCAATATATGTACAGTTGAACCTGCCTTAACAGAAACCTGTCTTAACAGAATCTCCTCGCTCCCACCTTGATAATATCTTTCCTCTTTAATTACCTGTAGAAAGAGGAAACCTGTCCAACGCGGAAACGGAAAGAAAAATCTGCTCCCTTCCGAGGGTTTTACCAGTCTAAGACAGAAAATGTGTTGCCCGCTCAACCCTGATTTGAAACAAAACTCGTAAGTGTGGTTCCGCC